GGGGGGGGGGGGGGGTTACTTGTTTCGGAGTAATAGTTTGCATAAGAAATTCTAGAAATTATAGAGAAGAGTCAAAAATATCACTGGAGTTATCCCATTTTCAGCATTGTCAAGTAGGAGATTTTCTTTCTTCTTATATTATAAGGAGGAGAACCGGAAGGAGAATTTACTTGAGACTTTTCTAAGAACCCAAGAAAATAATACTATAAAGAGATTAATTAAATACCAACGACTTCTTATAAAACCTATGAAATGATTGTCTTTTGTCTTACTTTTTATGCATTTCTGTAACTATTTACTCTATTCCTTGTTTTGTTAATTTGATTTTGTCGAACACTTGGAGAAGTGTCGGAATGTTTGTTTAAAACAGAAAATAACTTCAACCATTACAGTACTATTGTTTTTGTCGATTAAACATGCATGCAGAAAACATGCTCTTTGCAAGGTAGAGTTTCTTTCTTTTATTTTTAACCTTATTTTGCATGTATTATAGGTGGTCACAAATTGCGGCTCGTCTTCCAGGGAGGACAGACAATGAAATAAAAAATTTCTGGAATTCCACAATCAAAAAGAGACTGAAGAATAATAACAACAACAATAACAACAGTAACAACAACACGTCATCACCTAATACCAGCGACTCGTCTTCCGAGCCTCGAGCACTCATGGGTGGAATAATCCCTATGCAAGGACACGACGTAAATCATGTAATGGCAGCAATATGCATGGATAATTCCTCATCTAGTAGCAACCATTTTAATCCTTTCCCGCAACTTGACAATACCAACTACGACATAATCGGAGCAGGTTTATACAATTTTCCATCTTGTTTAGGTCAATTTGATGGAGATGGTGGCGTTGTGGATTATGATGTTGTGGAAAATTATAGTACTATGGGGTTAGGAAGTGATTTTTCAGTTCCCACATTAGAGGGTGGTGGAAATAAGAGTATGGGGGGTCAGATTAATAATAATGTTAATTTTAGTAGTAGTAATATTACCGCTGCCAATATTGACTATAATTCTTTGATTGAAAAGAAAACAAATGGCAACAACAACCAGCAGTTGATGTTGAGTGAGACTAGTGATCAAAGTCTCAAAGTTGAAGACTATACGGTTGGTTTTGGGAATCATCATCATCAACATCATTGGCATGGAGAAAGCTTAAGAATTGGAGAATTTGATTGGGAAGGGTTGTTGGCAAATGTTTCCTCCTTACCTTACCTTGATTTTCCAGTTGAATAACTACTCTCTTCAACCCTCCAACGTACCCCATCCCACACAATAAAGACACAAATACCCTTTATTTTCCCATATCTTCTTCTTTTTCTTTTTCTTCTCTATAATTGGGAAATCTGCAAGAGCTAGCTGGTGGCTAAAAATTCGAAATGCCTTTCTTGACCTAAATACCAAGTTGTTGTCTTTCATATCTTCTTCCATATATTCATATACTTGAATCATTTCCACAACCCCATTTACAGAAAATTTTGAGACAGGTACACTTCTTTTTTTTGTTTTCCACTATAAAACACTTCCAATAGATTTTCTTTTTTACTTGCCATATTTTTTTTCTTATACATGTTCTTCCTTCATATTGATCTTTTCGTTCCCTTCAGCCGAAAGTTCCTTCATCAAAGTTCATAGAGGTTTAGAAATAAGTCTTCAAATTTGGAAATACATTTTCAGTGAGGGCATTTTCAATGATTGTCAAGGATTATGGAGATACGGGAGAAATAACCTTTCTCAAGAAGCAAAGTTTGAATAGAGAATGAGCACAGAATACGTATATAGAAGATTACGAAGAGAAAGTAAATAAAAAGGCCAGTTGTTGATTTGTAAGCAGTCTTTGTACATATACAGATATGAATCAATAATCTTTTGAAGATAATTAGTGAGTTACACGTTTCTCAGAATACAGATGGAGAGAATTGTTGTACGTTCTTTAATTTGTATACACAAAGGAATAAGAAGCAATGTTAGTTTTTCCATATGATCAATATTTCAATACATTTAATCCCCCTACTCTCTCTCTCTCTCTCTCTCTCAAAATTGTCTTATAGTGACTTTACATTATGATGGAAGCATTTCCATTGCTGTAATATATGAGGTAGGGTGTGTTTACCCTCAAACTCGGATAACAATAATTGAATTTGTAAGTGGTTTTAAGGATACGCGAATTAATTTGACATAAAGATTGAACAAGTAAAGATAAAATGAATTCAAACCACGCGAATAAGACAACTTCAGCCTTAGTGAAATTGTTCACCCTCGATTCAGGCTTGTTGTAGTCAACGCTGATGAACACGTGAAAAAAGCTACATAACAGAGAAAATGATAATATCTTGCCTTGGAAGCCCTCTACATTAGGTACAACTCTGTAAAAGGTAAAAAAATCTTTTGATTAATTGATTGTCGGTTCCCTATCGATACATGCTGAGATCCCCACCGTGATAGTCAGCCGGTCACGGATATTTCGGCCTTCTGTTGGTTATGCTTGATTATTGTCGACAATGTCCTTCGAAGTTATTCAAGGATAGGACTGATTCTGGAACTATGACCTCGATATTCTCTAGGGCAGGCGTCGTGTCCCCAGGCTCTGGCTCGATGGGACATTCGACTTGATTTTGGTCCCTTGCCATCACATCTCGAGCCTGGCTTGTGAGCACGTGATTTTCGCCCCACATGAATTACTCTTAAAGAATTAGATTTTTCTTTTAATTGTTTGTCATTTTAGGAATTATTGTAGAATTTTCTTAATTATTTGCATTTTTCTTTGCATGCTTAATTTCATTTAATTCATGAAAATACAAAAAATATTTTGCATTTGCATTTAGGATTTAATTCTACATTTTTAGGTTAATTAGCAATTTAGTTGTCTTATAAAAATGATTAAAATCACAAAAATAACTCACTTTGCATTTTAACTTTTTAATTTTTGAATTTTATAGTTTTTCTTTTAATTTAGGAGTTATTTAATTTTTGTAAATACTATGACTAGTAATTAGCTTAATTTGGTAGATTAATTTAGTTTTAAGAGTTAATTTAGGTTTTAAATTAATTTGGAAAAGAAAGGAAAAAGAAATAAGAAGGTTATTTTTGGGCCAAATTCGTAGTAGCCCAAATGATTTTCCCCCTGAAACCCGTTCAAAATCCGGCCCAACTCCACCCCATGCTCGGTCCGTCCCATTTAATTAGCCAAACGACGTCGTTTTTGAGGTCTATGATCCCAGCCGTTGATCTTCACTCATCGAACGGCTGGGAACTGACTTATCTAAATATATTCAAGTGTTCGAACGGCCTTGACCCCTCCCCCCGTTTAATCTCTCCTTACTCTTCGTCTCTAACCTCAGAGACTCTAAACCCTAAAACACCCACCGCCTCAAAATCCTCAAGTCTCCACCGGCCGGTGGCGTAGCTCAATCGCCCCAAATTAACACCACACCACCCCTGTACCTTCCTCTTCCTAAACCCCAAAACAACTTCCCTCAAATCCCTCTCCATTTGTTCGAATCTTAAATCTAAGGCCGAAACCCTAAAGCCCCAAATTTTCCCCCGACTTAGGATCTAGGACATGCAAGGCTAAGGGGATAAATTGTGCACGAAACTGACGTTGCCCGTTTTTTCTTGACAAGAACACACGGTCGACATCAATTTTGGGTTCAAATCGAAGTAGCCAGAGTTTCACCAGATCGATTTAAGTATTTTCCTTTTGTTTTTCCTTCTACCCATTCTGTGTTTCTTCTTCTATTCCCTTTCTTTTTCTTCTACCCTTCTTTAATTAGTTTTATTCTAACCAAAATTTAGTAAAAGTTTTAATTTCTGAAATTAGTTCTTTCCCTTTTGGTTGTCTATGTTTGTTATTGTTTTGTTTGTTTTCTAGCTTGTTTGTTTAAATTCGTTTTTGATTACTTGTTATTCATATCAATAAGACAACTTCTTTTCCTTTCATGTTGTTGTTTCTATTGATCAAATTATAAGTCTGCTCCCTCTCTCTTCTTTTTCTTTTAGCCAATCCTAGTCAATCAGCATTGCTAATTTCGTTATTTTGGGTTCTAAATGGTTAAATTCTTTATCTGTTGTGAATTGGAATCCTTTTTGGGTTTTTGTTTAATTGGTTCATTGCTCTTTTAATTTGGAAGCCTCCTCTTGGGTTTGTGGTAGTCCAGACCTGGGGATTAGAAGCCCATTTGTTTAGGCACAAGTCTGGGATTCAGGAAACCTGCTTTGGCTCAGGCTAGGAAGGTAAATAATAGGAATTCAAAGGGTAATATAGGGAGTTTGGATAAAAAGAATCTCTTGTAACTGAATAGGAAGCTTCTAGGAAGGTGGGGTTGGGGCTAGTTTTAACAAACAAAATTTAAAATTGAGGACTAACTAGCAAGAATGAAAATTAAAGAAGGGGCAATTGGCAAATAACAGAACCAATTCTGTTGCCCTAGAAAGCTTATATAAAGAGGCGTGTTTCTTTATTATCAAGGCAGATTTTATAGAATTAGAACCTTAATAATTTCAGAAACGGCTGAGCTCCTTCAAAATCTAAAAACACTGAAAACTATTTGCATCTTGTAGTGGAAATCTACTTGTTTTTGTTCCTTGTTTCATTGTTGATCAGAATTTTCTAAAAAGGCTCCAAGAATTGTGTTCATTTGGGTTTAATTTGGTTTGAAAGAAGCTGGTTTTGCTGTGTTTGTTTTGCTGAAACAACAAGCTGATACTGCTGCTGATTTCTTTCACTTTCATTTGTTTTGATCTTTCCAGGTATTTCTTTGAACCTTGAATGGAAAATGAAGATGTGAATGTTGCTTTTTTGTATGGAAAGTGTGGTGTCTGTTGAAATTCAATAAAGATTGCTCGTGTCTGAAGCTTGATTTTCATATGTTTACTTAAGCTATTCAGCCTCTTGTCTATTTCTCCTTCTGCCTCTTTCTTTAATGTCATAGATCTATAGTAATAAATATTTTAGTAGTTTATGTTTAAATATTAAATCTGTGCTAAAGTTTGAAGTGGAACCATGTTAATTAGCTTGATCTTCTGCATTTTCTTTTAGTTGAACTGAGTTTAATCAGTCTCAAGCTCAATTGATTGAGTATTCCTTTGAAAAGGGGTTGATTGGATTCTTCCCCAATTGTATGGAAATGGCTAGCAGTTTATTGAAGGTTATTATCTAGTATGCATTTGGTTCCAATGGTTTGGATTATTGGTTGTTTGTTCATTCCACAAGTCAGGGTCTGTTACATTCCACTTATTAGATAATTGTTCTCTTAAATAGCCCAGAATTTTGGTTAAACAGTGTTGAACTCATATGTAAATTGATATAGTGTGTGTATGAATCACGAGGGACAAAGGTAAATAACTTAGGTAGTGACAATTCGATGTTCAAATCTGTTAAAAATATCGAATAGATGGCATAATGTTTTACATATTGCTTTTCCTTTTTTGTCCTCCAAATTTTTGCTACTGTGTTGTTTGCCGTATTTGGGCTCAATGTCAAGCACAAAAGAACACTTATTCCCTCTCTCAGATCTGCTTGGGCATTTTATGTTGGATGGGCTGCTTTATATCTGAAGCCCAAGCGACCCTTTGGACTTGCGTCTGGGTCCAATCCGCTGCCGCCAAATTGTTTCTCATTCTGAAAATGGGCTCACCTTTGAAGCCCAGTCCAAAGCACAACTCATGAGTGATTAGATTCCAAATTAGGTTAATTTTGCATTGGATTGAACAAGAGTTCCTTAAGTGAATGTATTTAGTTTAGATTGGGGCGCATCATATCAACAAAACCTACAAATTATGGCCCCATATAAATTATTAATTTAGTATTAAATAAGCTTGAACAATGGTAGATCGCCTTAAGCGCGTAATGTTTAGTTCTAGATTGCCTCTAAAAAACGCCTATTCCCTTTTAAAACAATTTGCGGCGTGCCATGCCAAATAAAATCCTTAACCCATGGCCCTCATTTAATTAATTTTAACTCGTAAAATCAGGGTGTGCCATCAATTAAACTTTCCATGGACCTCGCAAACCTTATTATTAATTTGAAATCTCGAAGTTGCTTTAGGCGCGTTATTTAAATTGATTTCCTTTATTTATTAAACTCGGGTGTGCATTTCATGTGACCCAATTTCATTTCTCAACAACGTTAAATAAAATGTGTCGTGGACCACGGGTGCATTTCATGTGGCGTGGTTCAAGGCGTATTTTAAATAACGTTGAATCTCCTTAAAAATAATTAAAAGCGTTTAATAAGTTAAAAAGTGTACCATAGGCTAAAACATGTATTAAAATAAGATACTAGGCCAGTTATAATAGTTTAAGCGACCGTGCTAGCACCACGGAGCCCGAGAATGCCTAACACCTTCTCCCGGGTTAACAGAATTCCTTACTTAGAATTTCTGGTTCGCATACTTCAAAAGGAAAGTCGAATTTTCTCGATTTGGGATTTAAAAATTAACCGGTGACTTGGGACACCAAATAAACTATTCCAAGTGGCGACTCTGAAGAATTAAATAAATAATCCCATTTCGAATAATGTCACTTTAATTTGAAAAACTCCCTTATATACCCTCGGGTGTGTAAAAAAGAGGTGTGACAGCTCTGGCGACTCTACTAGGGATCCAAACTTAGAACTTCGGTTCAGGGTTTAAGAATTCGAGCTTAGAATAACTGTTATAGTTAGATTGTTTTATTTGATTTTTACATGTTAAGCCTAATGTGCTAAATGCCGCTTTTACCGCTTTGATATACTTTGGATTATATATAAATTGCTACGAAACCCTCTTATATCTGAGTCTTCTAAATCATCTGGGAAGTATGCACTTCATGTGACTTCTTTTCTGTTAGAGTCTTATCCCAAATTTAGAACGAGGTTCGGACAAGTTGCAAAGCCGGTGAAGCTTCTGTATTTCCGGTACGCTGCCCCCCTCAGCTCGAGCTGTCCGCTTGGGTAAGCCAGGTCTAGAACAATACACCCAGGTTTTAAACCT